ACTATACCCATTGTGTTCAGTTTGAAGTTCTTTTCGATGTTTCATAATTCTGGGCTCTTTAACTCGGTATGTAATTTCTATTAGCAATCAACAAAAGAAGTGGTCTGAACATTTGAATTTATATAAAGTTTTATTATATTAATTAAAAAATATTTATATTGCATTATTGTAATACAATTTATGTTTTAATGTCATGTTTTGTTTTTGGTTTATGTATGTCATGTTGTTTTAAGATTATATTTTTTTTTATAATAATGATATTTTAATTACAATAATAATAATACCGTGATACATTTAGTTACTTATGGTTCATTAAAGTATCCTTACATTCCATGTAAACAAATTATTTACTTTGATTCAATTTATGCAAGCGCTCTCGCATGCAATATACTATCTTTGATACTTTGCAACTTTAAGCATTAAATTTAGCTCTATTCCTGTTTTAAATACAGCCACGTACATTGTCGTACAGAAATATATCTTTTTAATATTATTTCATTTTTCACATAGATGGGAATGGGAAAATGTAATATATACATTTTTATACCCCCATGCATGAATAATCCTGGGGGGGGGGGCATATTGTTTTTGTCCTGTATGTCTCTCTGTCTGATGTAAACTTACCGTTAGCCTTGCCCGTAACTATGGCGGGTAGCTTAAAGAAGTTAATAGTTGACATAAGTATTCAGTATGACATTTCCTTTCCATTGCATGGTACAGAAATGTTTATCATTTGACCTCAACTGTGACCTCTGACCTACTTTTGAAGAAAAAAATACATAATTGTGTAACCATAGGGGGCATAACTTTTGTTTTATTTTGTAGACGAACTATATAACACCTCCGGATTGTTATTTCACGGCTTCTAACGATTATCGTAGGTTCTTTCATCAATTCCAATTTAAAAAAAAGAAACATATCTTTTAAAATAAACACACAAAAAACGCTCAATAATCATATACAACAAACAATGAAGACAGTACAAAAAATTCTTTATTTCTAAAACCATTTTTTTTTCCTTTTAGGTGTTCCTCTTCTTGAATTAGTCAACAAACAAGAAAATTGTGCCTTAAAATGTCCGAGATATAGAAATATTACTGTTGGCTACAACATACGGCCCCGTGGCCACTCTTCGACTGGTGATATCAATTATAACGTAACGTGCCCGGGGTGTCGCGACAAGGGCCCGGACTTCACTGGCATCAGGGATTTCATTCAATATAGACGCGTCGAATGTGAAGGAAACATTGCAGATACGGGTATCTACGAACTGGAAGTCTCAACAGAGTATGGAAAAGCCTACTCGTCTGTCTTTATAGAAGTGGAGTGTAAGATCTTCCTTGTATTATGTACAGTGTAGTTATTTATATATTATCTTGACTTCGTATTATCAAATATTATTTTTTATTTTTTTCAGTGAATGAGGGATTCACGGGTAGGGTCAAGCAATTCTCCGGACCAGGCCAGATATTGTTTGACAACATCGAAATGAATAGGGGATACTCCTATGATAACAACACGGGAATTTTCAAAGCCAAAAGGACTGGGTACTACTCCTTCTACATGACGGCTAGAACCGAGTCCCATCGCTATGTCATGATGGAACTTCGGAAGAATGGCGTCATGGTGGGGTCTATCACAAATGACATTTTGCCTGCCAACAGCTGGCATTTTGAAGATGGTGCGAATGCTATGGTGCTTGCTTTGAACAAGGGAGATGAAATGACGGTCCATGCCAACGGCACGCTGCAGAGTGGCTCTACTTTAACCTTGTTTTCATTGCGAAGTATGTTTTAAGACACTTTATAGGGTCATGACGGATAGTAATTGCATGTAACACTCTAAGGAAGGTATATGTAAATTTCAAAATTACAAGCTTTACAGCTTCTGTCGATATCTATTATGTTTTCGAACTGCATCGGGTCTGCCGGGTTATGGGGTAAGACTTCAGATGTTAGTCCTCTACTGCTGATGATAAGGTCGAAATAACTCTATCTATATAACCAGCTTTTTTTCTTTTACTTCAGCTCTAATGGAATCTCCTCAAGAAGTCTTATATGCCAGCATCCCAGACGGCACTGTGATTCAAGGAGGCCCATGGCAACATCTAGCTTATGATGACGTACATATTAACACTGCCCAAACTTTCACAGCGAACACCAATTACACCGTGTCTAGCTCCGGATATTACGTCATCAGCATGACCACCTGTCTCCTGGATTCGGCCATTCACGCCTCTTACCTTGATGGCCGTTTTAAGATGATTCACTACTCGACCTTGTCGGTTTCTACTCGAACCTCAAACTCCTACACATTTATGGCCAGATATAATCAGGGTGACGTCATACAGAACCAATTCTATACTTTCAACACGACACGGGTATCAAATGAAACATCTATTGCAGTGTTCAAGTATTTTGATTTGAATGGTAAGACATAGTTGTTTTTTTTTTCTTTTAAGCTTGAACTTAGACAGATTATACATGTAGCAGTTACATATGATGTAAGTATTTTTGATAACTTTCTATGTTTTGTATTTGCAGAAACCAATGTGGTTGTAGTGACAGCTACTCAAAAGGAATTTCATTTGTCTTGTGAGCAAGAATTTTGTAATCCGTTTGCCAATGGAGCTGTACGTGAAAACTTGGGTTCAGCCTTAGACCCCGTTTCTGGGGTTTTCACCTCGCCCCGTTTTGATATGTACCTCATTTCCGTCAATTTGTTTGCAACCCAGGTGGACACCATTTTTCAGATACTTGTCGATGGTGAAGTCATAGATACCATTCGCAGCGATGGACCAGCAAATGACAACTTCACTAATGACAGCAAGCTGGTGCTGATTAAGAGTCTGGAATACGGTCAAACAGTAGAAGTGAAAATGAAAGGCCGGACTCTGTTCTTCACCATGCTGTCCATTTGGACTCTGACTTCCTGATCTGAAAACGAGGCCCTAAAGAGCTTCATGATCAAGCATTGCCATGTTTTTTTTTTTTTTTTTTGCTTTATCAATTAATGCGAATTTTTTTTCATATTCAAACTACTGTGGATGTAGGAACATGGCGAGATTTTAATCTAACAATATTTAAACAAAATTGACAATGTTTTTTTTTTTAGATACAGTTAATTTGCATGTGTGTACCTGTATATCATATGACTTTTAATAAGGTTTTGATTTTATGAATATTTTGACAAAATAAAAGCTTAATTATGAGGATTTGTTGTTGAGAAATTTATATAAGAATAAGTCTTTAAAAATCTTCTTCTCAAGTTCAAGCTATGTACAATACGGAATCAAAGTTCTACATAGAAATATATAGGAAAAATCTTTAAAAATCTTCCTCCCAAGAACCACTTGGCCAGAAAAGCTGAAAATTGTGTTGAAACATCCTGGAGTAATGCAGATTCTAAATTGTAAAAATCATGATCCCTCGGGATACGGCGTGACCACAATAAGGATCCAAAACCATGTTTTAGAAACATTATCGAGAGTCCTAACTGTTCATGTGGTACATCAGAAGACCCATATCATTTTTTCTTTGTCTGCAATATGCTAGAGAAAAGCTATTCAGAGATTTACTGTGTCTTACGAAACCAAATATCAAATTGAACATTATTAATTGTCATTTATTGCTGTGGGGAGATGAGTCACAAAATGTAGAAATCAATAAATATATTTTTCAGTCAGTTCATGAATTTATAAGAGATTCTGGAAGATTTAATTAATTATTACTGCCTAACATTTACACTCTATATATCTATATAATTATATATTTATCATAATTATGTAACAAATGTATGTTTCAATTTTACAAACTTGTTTGTACATCAATATTCCTTTTCACTTATTTTCCCTATGTATAAATATTGACAGTTGTATGGTGAGAAACTAGTAAGTTTTTAGAACTTGTGTTCAAACCATTTTTATAGTATTTATACAATAAAATATGTTCAACATTTTACAGTTTTACATGGAAATATATGGGACCCCCCCCCCCCCAAAAAAAAAATGCACCGCATGGGAAATAAAAGCTAAAACTAACTAGAAATTCTGCTATTGCAATTAATTGATAGCGTATGTTGCCCTGAACTGGACAAAAACTTTCATTTTTCACTACTGCACTTCATCACTAAACAATACCCATTAGCGAAGCTAGGATCAGTCCTTTCAGTACTTTGATTTAAAAATCAAAAGAAATTTCACTTTTCCCCAGTTTTCATGGCAACTATATATTGACAATTTGCAATTTTTAAATGCAAATCACACAATTACAAAATTAATACTAATTAAACAATAAAGTTTCATGATGAATGTTCAAGGGACCAGAGAGAAAACTCTCGGAAAAATTTTCGCTTTTCGCAGGTTTCCATGACAACGGTAATCATTTTGAAATTGAACGTCCTCATTGCAAAACTACAACCAGTGATCGTCTTTTGAGGAAAGTTTCAGGAAGATTGCCCCAGTCATCTCCGAGAAACAGCCCGAAGAGCAAAAATTGATTACCTTTGCAATATGTCGCCCCCGACTTCTTAGAAGCATCCTCAAGTTGGGTAGTGCAGATTAATTTTTAATTGTCAAAATCATGGCCCCCAGGAGTAGGGCGTGGCCACAATAGAAAATTAATTCAAGTTTTACATTGAAATATATGTCATTGAGATACACTTGTAGGGAAAATCTTTAAAAATCTTCTCAAGAGCCATTGCGCCATTATGGCTGAAATTTACGTGGAAGCATCCTGTGGTAGTTTAGAATTTTTATTCTCGAAATTATATCCCATGTTGTTAGTAAGGGTAACAAGTGAGATAAGAAATTGGAAATCTTATAAAGAATACCGTGGCCAAAGTTACTCAGGTGAGCGATGTGGACCATGGGCCTGGTTTTTTTTTTTTTTTTTTTTGACTAATTTTATATTCTATATGGGCTTAAGATATACGCCCTGCAAAGGAACGAAACAGATTTTGATTTCATCTATGTTGGGGGGGGGGCGAAAGCACGGTGAAGAAAAACACGCCGACACCGTATTTTATAAATCGGAAATAGCACTAAAATCCATACTGAAAACGTATGAATATACGAGTTGACAACATTCGAAAAGATTAATTGGTAAGTTAAATTAAAATATAATGATGAAAAGCATGATTGGACTAATGTTATCAAAATACTTTTTCAATGACGTTGATTGTTTTAGATGACAATCATGCTTATACGAGTTCCATGCTGTCATTTAACCCGAATTTACTTTAACCTTAAACCAGGTCTATCAAATATGATACCAATCTAAACCATGATCCCCTTTTACAAAAGAACTAACGATAAACACCAACATTTTATCATGTTTTTAAGTGCTTTTAATTTTCTTATGGCCCCCAGTCTATCCGCAGGGGCCTGTCACGAAATATTTATCTTCTTTTAATAACAAGAATAATATTAGTTACCCCTATAGATCTAAAATTTATAGTCAGGTCCAGATCAAGACTATTTCTACCTAGGCATTTAAACTTATACAAAGTAGGTATTTTACCTTCTTTATGCTTTACTTGCAATTTTTGGCCAAACGACCGAACTGTGCTATATATGGTGTGTGGCGGTCAGCTAGCTGGATTCGATCACCGGTGGCCAGATAGCTCAGTTGGTAGAGCACCTGACCAGAGTTTCAGGGGGCCCCAGTTCGAATCCTGGTCTGGTCCGCTGCATTTTCTCCTCTCCCGTTACACTTGGTGCCATGCCATGTCCTGGAATTGACAAGTGAGAGGCCTGCCAGGGATGAGCCTGGGTTGGGGTCTTTGGAGGCCCAAAGATCTTTAAGGAGGGATGAATACTGCGGTCAGCAGGATTCAATTGCCGGTGGCCAGATAGCTCAGTTGGAAGAGCACATGACCGGAGTTTTAGGGGGCGCGTGTACGAATCCCGGTCTGGTCCGCTGTATTTTCTCCTCTCCCATTACAGGTGAATAACAAATTTCTTGATACAGTCACACTGATGATGGATATGATAAAAAAATGACCAAAAAATGATTACTTAGGAAATTAACAATTTTGTAAAATTGACGAGTAAGAAAGTAATCATATTTTGGCTAAAATTTTGTCGTATTCATCATTGTGACTGTATGGAAAAATATTGTATTCAATCACCATGTTGTGTCGTTCGGTGTTTTGGCCAGAAAAAGGCAGATAAATAGCTACATAGGTAAAAATAGTCTTTGGACCAGACCTGATAGTAGCCCTTTGGCCATATTTACAAAAAATAAAGCAGGCATGTATAACTAATGCAAAGCAAAATTCTGTAATTTATTTTTAATGATCAAATTTTTTTTTCTTCTTATCTTAATTACAGCCTAAATGTTAGCCCATATTGAGGCCCAATTTTAGCTGCATTATGAAGTTGCTCCGTAGAATTCCTAATTGTTTCCTCTACATCAGATCACTACGGCAGAATCAAGGTAATTAAAATTTACTGACATTTTCCTAAAGGAGATTTTGCATAAAATTCATAAGCAAATACATGCTACACCTACATCACTGTACATGTAGATCATCAAAAATAACATTTTTCATACAGGGTAGCACATTTTAAAGAAAAAAAATTTGTAAAAATTGATAAACATAGCATAAAGATGCTAATTAAGGGTTAAGCTCTCTATGATAATATCACAAGCATCAGTCCACTTTTGTAAAATGTCCAAATTCTGAAATGTGAATAGAGAGAATATTGAAGCTTTAATGAATACTGTTTGCGTAAGATATGCAACATCCTACATGTAGTAGCTAGTAACATGGGCTAGTCAGTTTAATCTTTTAGCTTGTCAATGACAGTTACACATGATTATAAATGCTAGAGGTCCCGGGTTCAAAGCGGTTTTGACACATTCATGTCTCAATAATGATTAAGAGATTTCAACACCATGATTAAGCGACCAAATCTGTTACGATATTGGTTTGTTTTTACATTTTAGGTCTCGATCAGCTAAATAGTCTAAACATTATCAACCTTCATGGATTTGTTAAGGCAATATTACTGATCCTTTGCTTTGATCATTTTGCTCTGGAGATGGAGTACTTTTAACATTAATTAGTTAAAGAACAATTTAATTCCCTTTATGATAATAAATATTTGATTGTGTTTTTTCTTTTCATAATTTTCAAAGTTGCCAGTGTGTACGGAGGCCAAATAAATTCACAATCGAAGCCCTATACCCCTCGTAGGGCTGTGATGTATGTACCAGGCAATGATCAGAAAAAAATGCAGAAGGTTACCTCCCTTGATTTGGATAGTGCAGTCTTGGACTGTGAAGATGGCGTGGCAGCAAATAAAAAGGTAAATTTCTAAAGGAATCAAAAATGACATTGATGATGATATCTGTGAAGTGGAATTTATTTTTTTTTTTTCTTATCTTTCACTGACAGTTTGTAGTGAATGGCAATGAAATCTTGTTGAAATCCAAATTGTATTTTCATATACTATCTAGATCTTATTGGATTTGGTAATTTAAAGAAATTATCATTCAATGTTATATGTTACTGTAGATCACTAAACTTTCGCGACACCTTTTTTTTGCAAGATAGTCATTGACTCTTTATTAGCGACACATAATTTTCACGAATTGTCGTTTTTCCTCTATATAATCATAAGGAATACTTTTAAATGCGAGAAAGAAAATTTCACGAACTAAATGTCCCACGTAAATTCGTGAAAATTAAGTTCTTGAGAATTAAACGTGATTTACAGTATGTTATTTAAAATTAGAAAAATGAGACTATATAATACAAATAATAGTAAATTTTTTTCATCATTAGAATTTTGGATATACATTTATTTTATATTGTACTGACCCTATAGGAGGAAGCTCGTTCCACAATAAGAGAAGCCCTGGACCAGATTGACTTTGGTCGCACCGAGTGTATCGTGCGAGTGAACTCGGTTACCAGTGGACTAATGGAGGGGGACTTGTTGGAAGTACTGAAAGCCAAGAGAATGCCCCACGCCCTCATGTTGCCCAAGGTGGAGCGGCCACAGGACATTGACATGGTACAAAGGTTCTGATTCTTTCTTGTGTTGATGAGTAACTGATTGTTCCCCTTAGTACACACTACATTGACCAAAGGTTGCATATGCATCTTCCATTAATCAATATCAGAGGATCATGTACATACTATTGCCTCCATCTTGCATTTTAGAATAACAGAGATTTTCATAAACTCTCAAATGATAAGTTATTTCAAAGAGAAAAAAAATCTGTTACATTAAGTAAAAAGTATTGTTTCCTATTAGATTTCTAATTTGAAATAGGTCAATTACTTTGGCAGGCATATAAAGTTAAAGCAATATGAGCTGCATGTTTGACATTGAAAAAAAAATGTCGCAAATTTGTCATTAACTATTTCAATGACAGAAAATTAGAAATTTTTTAAACTTCTGTTGTTCATATTTGCTATGAAAGAACTTTTAATATCTGATTGAAGCAAAATTGATTATTGTCATCCCGTACAATAAGGTTTCTTATTAATACTGTATTTCGGTTGTACAGAAATATATCTTCTGATTTTTAATTTATTTTGAAATAAGGCCAAAGGGATTAGATTACATACAGATTAATCATAATAACACAATTTACCAGCAAAATAAAAACATGTAAAATGCAGCTCATATTGCTTTAACGTTCATGTCGCATTGCTTATATATCAATTCCTTTTGTCAGTTTACCAAGCAGCTGAAGGTGGCATTACAGGGGAGATCACTCCAGACCCGCCCCTTCCTGATCACGTACGTGGAGAGCGCCCTGGGTCTGATGAACCTGAGGGACGTATTTCAGAAGACGGTGGATCTCCAACTGAAGGAGCAGCTGTACGTGCTGGATGGAGTCGTGTTCGGATCGGATGATTATTGCGCAGATATTGGTAAGTTTTAGTCACATGTACAGCAAATCTTGTTTAGTACAAACAAGGATGTTGCGAATTTAAGGATATAGGGAAGTCATCTTGGATCCCCAGCTATATGAATTTAATGAATTCCTTTTATGGATATAAGGAAATACAGATATAACAAAGTAATATCATAGGTCCCAGTGACTTTGTTGTAACCGAGTTTTGCTGTATTCCAATAGGAAACAAAATATACTGAAAGGAAAAAGAAACGCAGGGTAGGATAATTGTCGATAAATATTTGACAACATGACCGAAAATTACGAAAATTGTTCAGATGGGAAATTTAGCTACTGTGCATCAAAATCAGTATTCAGAATTACTCAACCGTAAAATTTATGACGTCATTAGGGAAAATACAAAAGAAAAACACGTGCAATTTGATAACGACGTGTTTGTCCACAAATCTTATTGCTTTATTTGATGCATATGAGGTATGCACATCGTTTTTCAATATTAAGAGACATTATAAATTTATTGCAATCTTGGCACAGTTTACGGAAGTTCAACGGGGTCTTGTTTTCGAATTGCCTAATAATGATTTACTTAGCATTCTCTTGTAAATTTTCCCCCAAAAACTTTTTAGCCGTTGTCAAGAGGGCATTACAGTGGATTTCAATCAACCGTGACGACGACGTTAACGTGAAACAGAGCCATGTTACGAGCGGGTTATTCGTCCTGCCATCTCTTAAATCGCCACCTTACTACCACAAAAACCGCTATTTAAAGTGTACACGATTATAATCATTACATTCATACAAAATTTGAAAGAAAACAATTCCGCAATTTGTTTTTTTTTAGCCAGTCAACTTACGGTTGTATTCCTCTCACTGGCGCATGCGCGCGCCGTTTGACTAATTTTTATGCGTTACCCATGCTAAATATAGCCAGGGTTCGAAAGATAAACACTCTGATGAAATTCCATGCAAAGGAGAAATAAGACTCTGACAGATGCACGAGATGGACATTGAAGATATGAGAGTCATTTTCATGTTTGGGGGGGGGTAAGCCTTCAAAACTCTTGAATTATTAACAAAATCCTATGAGAATTTGGTTATATCTTTTTGAAAGATATTTTAAAAGTTAGATAGGAAAACTAAAAAGTATTTTAAGAAAAACAAATTTAATTCACCTCAAAAGTTTACCCTGCGTTTCTTTTTCCTTTCAGTATATCATTGTGCTTTCTATCTCCCATGTAAGGCTTTCAGGGATACTGTGGGAGCATAAGTATGGACTTTAGTACTATAAATTTACTTAAATTATGATTGAAAAATTCTTAAGAGGGATGTGAATCAATATAGAAACAAACAAACTTTTAGTTAGACTTGAAAAAATTCTTTAAAATTTTGTATCTTTTTCATCTTTTAGGAGCCACAAGAACAGCTGATGCTAAGGAATTACTGTATGCCAGGCAGAAAATAGTCACATGTGCTAAAGCCTTCAAACTACAAGCCATTGATATGGTACATATTGATTTAAAAGGTCTGTTTTTTCAAACAGCTTCATGTATAAACTGTAACACTTCCAAACAAATATGCAGGATATGATACGTTGATATTTGAGAGAATTTCATTTGAAAAATTTAACATGAAATACATAACATGTAAGTTTTACAACTTCTTTCAAGGAATGCTCTCATTTTTGACCTTCTGGCATGTTATGATATTAAAATATACAGGTATAAAGTACATTGAATAAATCCAAGACCAATTATTTATGCCCCCCTTCGAAGAATGTAGGGCATATTGCTTTGCTGCTGTCCGTTGGTATGTTGGTCCATTTATTTTCCGTTCATTTCTTCAGAGCCGTTGCACATACTGAGAAGGAATATAGTATGCAGGTTTATCAGGTAAATATCTAGGTCTAGTTCTGTTTTGGTAACGATCGCACCATTTTTGACAGAGTTATGCCCCTTGGACTTAGAAAAATTCCATGTATTTGCCGTTTCTGTTCATTTTCTTCACAGAGGTTGCACATATTGAAATGAAATTTGGTATACAGATTTATGAACTGAATATCTAGGTCAAGATCTGTTTTGGGTATGATCGCATCCTTTTTTGTTAGAGTTATGCCCCTTGGACTTAAAAATTTTAAGATATGCTCTTTTGGACTGAGAAAAAATCCAATTTAGGGGGAGAGGGGCATAAGTGTTTTACAAACATCCCGTTTACAAAGGGGGTCTAATTTTGAAAAGGTAGTGTAACTTTCTAAATGTGCATGGATATTAATTTTTTTTATTGTCAAATACACATAGGTAATAAGCTGCATGAAAACTGCACTCTGGATGTATCTTCTTGAAATAGATTTTACATGGATCTCAGTCCTAATTCCGTAAGAAAATGGTCAAAGTAACAGGAAAAATTCCATTAAAGTGAGAAGCTTGTTTTTGAAGTTTGAAAACAGTTATAAATTATAAATAAATATTTTCTTTAACAGACTTAGAAGGAATTGAGAAGCAGTCACTGGAAGGAGCCAGGATGGGTTTCACAGGAAAGCAGGTCATCCACCCCTCCCACGTGCCCATTGTCCAGAGAGCCTTCTCCCCCAACCAGGATCAGGTGGTGTGGGCCACGGAGCTCGTGGAGGCGTTCAGTAAACACACAGAGTCAGGGAAGGTAAAGGGGAATTACTGTGTTGTCATTTGAATTTTTGAGCTCAGTGTTTGTTGGTACACTGTAAGTAAACTTTTATTTGTTGGGGTGGGGTCAGAGTTTCATAGGAACATGCAGATTAATTGTGTTATTCAGAAGATTAAATACATATCTTGTATATACAGTTAATTTTGAAAATTAAAATAATTGTTTCTGGCAATGGTTACTCAAGAAAATCCACAGTGGTCCCCCACAAACAATGAGGACTCAGTCGACAGTTTGCTGTAAAAATATAAGCAAAATTTATCACATGTAGTCTAATAAGGAAGGGTGAAGGAGTGGGGTAGAGAAATTTATTTTTAAGACGCAAAGGCAGGAATATGTTGAGAGAAATATTTTTAAAATGTAGAGAATAAATTACAAGAAATTTTGAGAAGAAAGGGCTTAAATTTCATTGTTTATCAAAAACCAGCAAACTAAAAACACAATTATGACATTATTTTATTTGATCACACACATGATTGTAATTATTGAATTCTGTTTTAACAGTAACAAGACTTAGTATAGATTAAAATGTATGGATTCTTTTATAATGAATATACATTTAAACAACATACAGTAAATTCCAAAGAAATGAAAAATGTCATTTATTGGTACAGTACAACATGATTATAGTGAACACATTTATTAAGAATTGATGCTTATAACAAAAGTGATTTTCCTTCCCCTTGACTTTAAAATATATTGTGAACTCTACAGATTAAAGCAAATTATGCTTACAACAAAGCAAAATAATGTGTCTCTGATACTTTGTTATGTGACAGTGTTTCTATGTACATTCTCTATCATTTTGTGTTTTTCAGAATATAACAATTAATGCCCATAATATTTTTTTTTCCAGGGTGCTTTTACATTCAGAGGAAAGATGATAGACATGCCATCTGTCCTGCAAGCTAAAAACATTTTACAACTCTCAGCTAATATTGGATCTAAGGCACCCTGACATGTGATTGGCTCATAAAGGCTGTGACCTTTTACTGACCAAGAAGTACCACATCAGCAACTTACTGCTTTCAGATGGATTGTCATCTGCTGTGATGCCCAGTTTGTGTACCATGAATAAAAAAAAAATTAACAATATTCTGTAATCATTATTCCATTGGTCATATTGGCATTACAAAATTCAAAACAAACTAAAACACATACATATTATTTGTATTGAACACAAACATATAATTTGTGTGTAGCAGGTCAGTTTTTAACTTTTTTTAGGTAGATGTTAAGGTGAACCATGTTTTTGAAAAAAATCCAATGCTTTTTTGCATAATGGAAGTTCACAATTCAACATGGACAAAAAATTTTAGAGACTTTGAGACTGAGGTTAATCATGTTAGATGGTAGAGGTGTCTATATGTAATCAGTTGGTTTAGTTTTTAATTCTGTTATTTTACATGTACATACATGTAATTATATCAATATATTAATACTCTGATACATGTATTTGAAAGAAAATTTTTAGTATTTTTTTTTCAAATTGAAAATGCATATTCATATATTTTTCAGTTCTGGGTGCATTGAATGTTCATTAAAATCCATTTGATGATTTAAAATGCTATTTTACATAGCAAACGAATGTTGTCAGATGCATACATACAGTGTATGATGATTTTATGTGTATATGATGTTTATGGTTATAAATTGTGAAGAATTTTTTCTCTAGCTAGAGCTAGGAATTTTAAATCACTTGTTAAAAAGGCTGCGTGGTCATGACCATTTTTTTGACTATTTTGATCTCTATTAGAAGAAGAGCTCCATATAAATATATAATAAAATGATCAAATTTAAAGCTAAAATTTATGAAATTTTTCTCTGCCAAATGATTGTTGACAGCACATTAAGATATATCACAAAATTTCAGTTAAATCTAGTGGTTAATTGAAAAAAAAATTAGTTGATCCCCTAGCCTCCTTAAGTTTAGATATCCTAAATATTGTAAGATTGTCTGTTAAAGTACATAATAGCCATGTTTGTAATGTACACAAGTATTCTATTTTATTATGGACAATAGATAATATTTATCTTTTTGTTACCTCTGTATATGCCAAAGAACAAATTACATGTATCTACACAAAAGTCATTTCCATTATAAAACTGAAAAAAAAAAATCATGCTTTAATCTGAATGATAGGTAAGGACCTACATGTATACACTTGATTCATTTATCCTTTTATCCTTTGGAATTTGTACAGTGCTACATGTACATGTATCATTTTCTGTGATTCTGATCTATACTGGAAAATGGTTCTGAATGTACTTGTGAATAAAAGAGGAAAAGGAGCATATGCATCAATTCAATTGTGTCTTTACATACTGTTTCATTTTCTGAGGAAAACTGTGTTGCAACAAATGAAAACACGATTAAGGCCATCTTTAAAAAAATGTTTGGTTACCCTCTCCCGATTGAATGAAAATGGCCAATTCAAAACTTTTTTTTCACATTCCAGGACATTTTTTTTCTTTTTCCTCTTATCCCTTCAACAAATACGTTGTCATTTTCTGGGGAAAAAAATTCCCCCATCTATCTACCGACACAATAATTTTACCGTGAGTTGGGGAAAGGCAAGCAATCATGATTTTAAAGATAGCCTTAAGACAAAATAAATAGCATTGAACATAACAAACCTTACATTACCCAGTCTTAAGATTATGTTTTCGTTAAATTCATTACAATACATGGTATATTCGCTATATATCAAGAATTTCCCACAATCCCTTTTCCTTAATGTCTTTCAGATTAAATGTGCCCCTCACAGTTCCATTGAGTAAGGAAGTCATATAAATAAAATAGCACGGCCACTTAAGAGGGGACATGAGGAATTGAGGTGTACCACTGGTTCCCTCTAACTTAATGACCTTCCACTGACCTTCAGGACCAGGGTGTCCAGAAACAGACCAGCAACATCCGAGTTTACTGTCTACGTAGACATAATGTGAGGGCCACTTTTTCGATCTTATGTAAAATATGTTGTCCACATTTCGATTTTCCACCACTTCCAAATTAAATTCACAGGCATCGGATCTATTATTGCTTCCACGAATAGACCCTCCAGGTGCTGAGGACATCTCCATTTTCCAATCAGGCCACTTGGCCGACCGAATCAAGTGAGTATGTGCACAGAACAATTTGTCCTGACCTATGCATGGGATCCAAATTTGTTTAATTCGAAGGAGATGGAGAAAATGTTCATTTTCTGTGGGATTGAATACGGTCAAAAATACAGCTTTTTCGAATTTGGATTCAGTGACAAATTTCACCACCTCGAGGTCTATCTTCTCGCTTTCGTAAATCATGGCCTGGACGCCTTGTGCACTAGACTGATCATAACCTTTGCGATTTTTGATGGCGAACAACTGCCAAAGCACCAGTGATCGGAGTATCGCAAGCCTGGAATACAAATTGATATACGCTGCTGCTCTGTATGCAGATTTTATATCAGAATACAATAGCTCCTCTGTTTTTGCCCTCAATTTACCAAGAAGCCTCACAGAATCACTTGTAGGAAACTTATTCTCCAAATGGTTAATTATACTCTCTGGAGCATCTTCCGCAATACTATTCAGATAGGCATTGACAGTGTAAAACAAATCCTCTAAACCCACAGCGTCCGCCTTTAGCTCTGAATCCTGAAAGCGCTCAATGGCAGCATAGGCACTGTCCGTGTCTGCTGACGGAACTGTCGTTTTCATTGCATTTCCAACTTGTACAAACAAAGTCGACAACACTGAAAACGTAGTTGCCAGGGTTGCAGGTATGGGATGAATGGCTGAAATCTTGGAAACAAAGTTAATTGCAAAGGAAAGTTTGTTGAACACATCTCCACTGTCTGAATTAACACACTTCTTTAATTCATTGATGGCCTGCTTCACCTCTCTTGATTTCTTAGGTCCGGCGAAAACCGTGCATAGTTCTAGGAAGACGTTTTCTGCTGCTCTAGCATCCAGTCCCACTTTTTTGAAACATTCTGTTAACTTTTGTTCAAAACGAAAATCCTCCTTAGAAGCCATGGCCATTGTTGAATATCCCTGCAAAGTAAAGATGGAAAACATATGTATAAAAATGTATAAAATGGCATTTGTATATATATTTCACTTTTGCACAATTGCGCACTGTATGTTTTACCCTTTCACCGCATCTATAATTATCTATAATAGTGTATAATTGTATTATATTGTCGCCCTGCATATCATATCTCTGTCGACAATACGTGTCGATTTCCTGACATTATCGGTTTTAATTTGCGTAATTTTCCTTACGTACATGTTTATCATTATTATCAAGTCAAACAGATCGATATTATTTTTTATCGAACTGATGAAATCGACAAACGCTTAATTAAATTTATGCATCACGAGTATCTCAGAAAACTTAAGGTCTTGACGTCTATGAAAGAACAGTTTGAGGGCAAGTATCGATTGCATAAAATGCCATGTAGGAGTCACCTTCATCAATAATAAGTTCAATTTTTAAAATTAATGAATGTGTTTAGAATTTGTAATGTTTTTTTATGACTAAGATAATTTTAACCATTTATATAAATAATTGCAAATGTTTTATGGCAGCGAATATTTACATTGTTTATATAATTATATAGGACTATGACACACTGTATTGTTAATTATATTCATTTTTTAGATAATTTACCCATGCATGTAAAATACATGAAAAACATGAAAATTGCTAGATTCATAACTTACCCTAAATGACTTCCTGTTTTAGAAACACTGTACATTTGAATAATCATATAATCAAAAATTATTTCCTGTTTGTTTTCGTTATATTCATGTAACATAGATAATAATTTAAATATTTCATCGATTTCCTCTGACTGTGCAATAAATTTATCTATTATACCTGTCATTTAAGTATTAAAAATATATAGCCTTGACCGGTTATCAGGAATGTGTTTGATGTTAAAATTATATACTGAAAGAGGGGGGAATTAAGAAAGGGCAACCTGTAAATAAAGTGTTATTCTTTTCGAGCGTTTTGTCAGCATGTATATACCCGTCTTTAACCAAGAAGAAGAAAATAAAAGAAAGAGAACAACAACAGGCCTACGAATAAGGAGGGATTTTTACTTGTAGATATAGATGTGAAAGTCTGCTCTACTTTCGTCAATTTTTCAGGACATCAAACCAAATATTGCAAAGTATAAAGGCCCAACTGTGCTACATACATGTAAGACGGCCAGTAAAGACCGATGTACAAGAATTTGAGGAAGTAAAACCTTTACATATATACCTATAATGTAGGAAGGAAAAGTAAATACCGTTTTACCAGGATATTAGGAAAATTTGGAACGCATCAAAATTCTCCCTTCAAACAAAATTTAATCGCTCAACAGTTATAGCACCTGATCCCCCTCAAATGTTTTTGGGGTCTGCGTCTGCTCTGCTCCTATTTTATAATGCTATGAGTGGACTTTTGAGGTCGAGTACTGTTCGTTATCTCTGAATATGTCATTCCTGTCACTACTAAAGTATGAAATTGAGACATGGAATAGTCAAAAAGAGAGATAATAAAAAAGTCTAAAGATTAATTGACACCTTTTAGAATAGATGCTTGAGGAAATCCTGATAGTAATATGGCCTGAAAAAATATCAAATTAATTAGAATCCCATTATAAAATAATAATGTTGACAACAATGCTAGTGAAGAAATTATAACTCTCTTGAAATGGAATTGAATTAGCCATGTAATAACAATAGAGAAAACCAGGGTTTCTGCTTCCTCACCGACATGGCATTTAGAAGGATGTTGGATAGAAGGCAGCTACGCAAAAAACATCAACAGAGCAAGAGCAATTGCAGCTAAGATGGAAAAGTGGGCATCAGCAAGGGCACCTGCCAAAGATGTAAGCAGGTGAAGGAAGTGTATTAGGGCCTTATGATGTTACATGTATGTGTCAATAGATTATAGGCAGAATTATCAATAAGAATGTTGAGGTGAAGTAAATCTGCAGGTAACAAATCTCACTGGAGGATTAATGAGGCAGCAGTTCCCCTCTTTTGTGTCAAAATTAAAATTTATACATGAGATTCATTAAATATCTTTATTTTGGTATGACTGTGGCCCCCTTCCCATACCCAAAATTAAACTGGTTAAACCTCCTTTTTCAAGATTCCTTGATCATCCGCTACTGAATCTTTTTTTGTTTTTGAAAAATTCGTTCTTTGAAAAAAAAGACTGCACAGCATTATATTTTGTTTCCTTTTCATTACTTGGTTTTGCCTGCACCCCACTTGTCCTAGAGGGACACGATATTCGCAATATCCCTTTCTCTTAACCCTATAAAAACCATAGGGGTACATTTTACTGTGTGAGAGAGGAATTATATGCCCTTATTAGGACAAAATAAGTGCAGGCAAATTTTGGTACTTGAAAGCGAAAGTACATTGCAAAAGGCAGATTCTATCGGGGTCTTGTCTTTATACATGGCATGCTTTCAATTACAGCATTTCAGAGACCATTTACGTCAAACGTGCCCTTCAATGATAAACATATATATTTATTCTGCAATGATGGTTTTCACAAAAAGGACAAAATTAAGCAGGTGCATTTATCTTAAGGGGAGACAGGACACATGTCACATGACTTAAAAGACAAATCACGTCATAATCGGTGATGATATACATGTTAAACGTTGTTAAAATCAACAGTTCTTGTGTAATTTTATTCTAAATTCTAAAATTGTTTTTTAAACATTTAAATTTAGAAATAATTATTAATGAAATTTATAAAAGACCTTGCCGTCATTTAGATATTGTGAATTACAGCTATTTATAAGAACCAGGCAGGGGGTGATTCATGACCACTTCAGATTTTTACAAAATTTTAATTTGTTGCTTCATGGACCAAGGGAACATCATTGGACAACATAATTTTTTTGGCCAGCCTTTGTTGCCATGGAAACAATGCACCATGTAAATGCACATGGCAACCAAGCAAAAAATTGAAAAAAAATGTTAATTTAGCTATTATTGAACACAAGAACAGAGCTTTTTTGATGATAGTACCATAAATAAATCTTTTTTTCCTGAGAAGTACATATAAAATGTTAAATGATTACCATAAGGATAAAATTATATAGGATTTATTAAAGGTGCTGAATTTCAATTTAACATAGGCCATTTCATTAAATTCACTTTTTACAATATTTCTTCAAATCCAACATATTTTAGAAGCATATTAAGAAAAAGGCCCGCATGTTAAAGAAATCTGATAACATGGGATAGAAAGAGCACATTCTTAATTTTAATAAAATCATATAAAACCCATGGGTTTTTTAAAAATAATCTGTTACCATGGCAACGAAATGTCACAAAAATTCATTTTTCACAATAATAGCCGTTTTTAGGAGCATAGTAAGAAAAAATTCCACATGTTAAAGAAATTTGATAAGGTGGAATAGAAAGAACACTTTCTATATTTCAATAAAATTTAAAAGAAACCCATGGGTTTTAAAATAACACTCTGTTACCATGGCAACAAAATGCCACAAAAATTCATTTTTCACAATAATAGCCGTTTTTAGGAGCATAGTAAGAAAAAATCCCACATGTTTAAGAAGTTTGACAAGGTGGAATAGAAAGAGCACTTTCTTAATTTCAATAAAATTAAATAAAACCCATGGGATTTTAAATAACACTCTGTTACCATGGCAACAAAATGTCACAAAAATTCATTTTTCACAATAATAAGCATTTTTTCAGAGCATAGTTAGAAAAAATCCCACATGTTAAAGAAAACTGAAAGCATAGGATAGAAAGACCACAATCCTTATTCTAATATTAAAACAAAGCAAATCCCATGGGTTTTTCAAAAATATTCTGTAACCATGGTAACAGAATATCACAAAAATTCATTTTTCAAGAAAATACCAAAATATATCATTTTCAGAGTATGTTGTGGAAAAAATACCACAAGCACAAAAAATGATAATATAAGATAAAAAATGTTCTCCTAAACCTTGCAAATATTAGATAAAACCAGTGGATTTCTCATAGATTTTTGTAACCATGGTAACAAATTATTCTGGAAATGCTTTTTTAAATAAATTGACTTTACAAATTTCCATAAAATACAAAATAATTATTGACTACCCCAGTAACATCCATGTATTATTTTCACAGTTAATTGTAAATGCATGAAAATATATTTTTTTAAATATGCTTTTGTGATTTGTATCTGGTTACCATGACAACATCTCCAAAAATATTGTATTTGCCTAAACAAATTTTGTCAATGTGATTAGCTTGTATGAAGAAAACTGAATGAGTGGCCATAAGCTAAAATACTGAAAGACACAACATTTTTTGTACCTAACTTCTTTAAAACAAATATTTGGTTTCTGTGGTAACTGTGATTAACCATTTATGAGACATGATCTAAATATTTCAATTGGATTTTTAAATCAATTTTTGAAAAATCATCTGTAAATGTAATTTTTGCTGAAATACATAGTTCACAGTAAAGAAATCTTGAAAAATGTTAATATAACATTATAAAGTGTATCAAATATAAAAATAAAGTGCCGCGCCACAGCATGATACGCCCGTCAAAAGATTACAATTTTCTTGAACAGTTTAGATGCAAGAAAATCACATCAACCTTGATTCTAAGATTTCGATGATTTTTCCATTCCTTAAAATATTTATCCATCCCCTGTGATGTATGCATCAATTATAATAAATATAACAACACTGATAGATTTCAGTGCTGGTTGTGTTAGACCTTGTCAAATGCCCATCATCAAATTAGTCTTAACAACTGAATGTACATCAAATTAATTTTGAAAAAAAAAGGCTGGCCATCAAATGACATATGTTATAAACTGACCAGCAGTTCTTCTGTCTAATCCCCAAAGGGTACAGATAAGATTCTAGCCTTCCTACATTGAACTCAATAATTAATCTTTAACTGGATGCTTGTCTACTCATTACTACCAAGAGATGAATGGGTCTGCACAATCTACTATAATTTTTCTTTTAAAACATATAAAATACTCAAAGATTTTTTTTTT